TGATATCCAAACATGTTTTAATTACTTTAATAATATATGTGATATTGATTTCCAATTATGATTTCTTACCAATAATTTGATTATTTTGTAAATGGGCCGAAAGCACTTGTCTCGATCAACTAACATATCTTATTCATTTGTTTTAGTCGTGCATGTACATAAAATACAACAGAATCAAGCTTAAGTCAAAGATTACAATAAGGTGTGTTTGGTTGGGGAATGAAATCTATATTTTTTTTGTTTGGTTGGTCGGGAATGTCATTCTCAGTAATCTTACATTACCAATAGTGGATTTTTTGGGTATATTACCGGGAATATCATTACCTCCCTTTCCTTAGGTATTGTTGGATTACCGGTGTTTTGGACTAAAATGCCTTTAAATTTTTTTCTTTCAAAAATATATTTATTTTGTCATTGAATAATAAAAATTTTACGAATGTTACATTACAAATTTATCCTTAAACTATTTTAGATTTATAAAAAAAAATCTATAATTAAAATTTTATATGAAGTTCAGGGGTTAAAAAAATTTACCCTTTCGTTAAACCTTTTTATATTTTCAATTTTATAAAAACAATTATATAAATTTTATGAATTTAAATTTTTAAAGAAAATATATAAATATTTTTCAACTTGTTAAAAAAAACAAATGTATAATAAGGACAATTTGGTCAAATATACATTCTAATAATCTTTTATTCTTTTAACCAAACACAATAATCTTAAATTCCTGCTAAACCAACCAAACACAAAATATAACATTTACAATAATCTTATTCCCTGGTAATCTTTTATTCCTACTGATAATCTTACATTCCGTGAACCAAACACACCCTAATAGTTTACTTCATTAAAAAATCAAACAATGTTGATGATGAGAGGTTAATTAAAACCCAATCTAATAATGTTGATGATGAGGTGAACATTTTACTTAATTTTTTAAACATTATTTTATTTGAGGCGTCTAACAATATTAATATTTAAAGTGGACTAGTGGAAAGAAGGTGGATTTCTCTTTCTAGGGTTTAATATTATTTAATTATTACGTTTAGGAACACAAAGTATTGAAAAAACCAAAAAGACATGTTTTTATTATTTTATTTGTAATAATAAAATATTAAGTTAAGGTGGATTCTTGCGTACCAAGATTTAACTTCTAATAAAATAAGGTTTTGTTATTTTTAAAAAATATATTATAATATATTTAATCTAATTAAAAATATCAAAATACTTATAATTAAAAACCTCTTGTAGGGTTACATAATATTTAATCTAAATTAATAAATTAAATTTTTATATAAATAAATATATAAAATAATTATTATAAAAAATATTTTATATTTAAATAATTGGTCAATGATATCAAATGTTTTTAAAAAAACGAGTTGGCTCGTAGGAATGAACAATTCTTTAAAATTGCACATTCAGTCAACATAAAGTAATGAGGTATTTGTTGTTTTAATTTATCGATGAGGAAACATCATATTTTATTTGTTTAAATATTCAGTAATGGAGAAATCATTTTTTAATCCATGATAAGACAACTATTATATTTTAATTCTTTAAATATTCACATGCAAGTTGATAATGTTAGGCAGTGGAGTGTAAGACATTATATTTTTTTTGGGTGACTTTAGATTGTTTAACAAAATATAATAATTTCTTAATCCTCTCCAAATAAGAGTTTAAATTTAACATTTCCTACTTGATTATTTTAAATTTTCCTTAAGATAATCATGAAGCATTTGTGCTATTTTCTAATCCATTTTAACATAAAATGCATTAGTACAATAAAAAATTAATTCCATTTACATTTTTTAACCTAAAAGTTACAACTTGAAAGATTTTATATCAATATTTATATTCTATCCATGATCTAATCAATTGATTTTAATATATATTTTTTTAAAATACAAATACAAATTATAATTACAATTAAACATAATAATAAAAATTTTCCTAAAGATTATCTAAATAGTTATTTTGACATTTAAAAAATATGATTGTTTTGACTCATATTCTTTTTTAAGCATTTTAGTTCCTAACATTTTATTTTTGAAAATTGTTTGTCAATAAGCAATCATCACTCTAAAATATGGGTGTTTTTATCCTAAAATAAAATATTATACCCAAAATTATGCAAAAAAAAATAATGAATAAAGTGATTGTTTACTCAAACATCATGAGCTTTTTTGCTTTAAAATAAAATAGTAGGAGTAAAATACTAAAAAGATTATAGGTCAAATTGACTATTTAATCAAATGTTGAACGCATTTTTCTGGACATTATACCTTACAAATTATTATTTTTTATTGTCTGAAGTAATTATAAGATAATATTTGTTCATGATATTTCTTAGTCACTAATAATATACTCACCATACACATACATCTATTCAAACTCATAACCTCAAATGATAATATCATTTCTTATAACCACCTAGAGCAATGGGTGAAATGACTATGAATATATAATAAAAATAATCATTTTAAAATAAAATTGATTTTATGTGATAATTGAAATATTAAAAAATATAATTTTTTTTAAATTAGTAATGGTTACAATGACCAATTTTTCGATAAACGGAATGATTTCTAATTTATTGTAACACTGAAAAAACTTGGTTTAATAATATGATCTGATTTTAAATTGACCCAACAATCAACAATGGCAATTGAAAATATATAAATGTAGATCAGAAAAAAAAAATTATTAAGATCAACAATTATTGAAAATTGAAAACTGAAAAGCGCCACATAAAAATGAAGATTAGTTCCCGCCCTTAAAGATAGAGACGAAAAGGTCTACATTAAAACGACAGCGTTTTGAATCTTTTTTTTATTGTTAAAATAAATTGTTATATGTTTTTGGTTAAAAGTTACGACTGGTACAGCGTTATATAAATATTTTCCAATAGAAAAATTAGTTTTCATTTAAAAACAAATAAGATAAAAGTATTTATCATAAATAAATATATTTAATTTTTATATTAAAAATTTGTTCAAAGTGAGTAAGGTTTTTTTAGCACTCTAGTTTAAAGTAAAAATTTCGCTCTGACTAATCTGAATCTATTCGGATCCTCCACATAACTTTAACTTTGTTAGATAAATATTTTAATAAAATTTTTATATATATATTTAAACTTAAAATCTTACTTAAACGATAATAAATGAAAATGCAGCGAGTAAAGTTATTATATTTAATTAATATTTTTTTAATATTGTTGTCCAAATTCTGAAAAGGGGCGAGTTAGTGGGCATTTGCCATATTCCATCAGGAAAGTGACGTAGGCATCTAGAATACGCTAAATTACATAAATGACATCATTTTTTTTAATTTTTTTTTCTAACACCGTTTGACTAATATTTCCAGAAGTAGCACCCTTTCTGCTGAGTTGATAAAGGCGCATCCCCGGGGACGCGTTTTACCCGTGTTTTCGCTGAGTTGGATGTCACGTGTGGAAGGCGCGTCCCCGGGGACGCGCCTTTGCCATATCAGCAGACACGTGTGGAAAGCGCATCTCCGAGGACGCGCCTTCCATTAAATGTCATAAATGCCTCTATCCGTTTTTCCTAACTACCCCTCCTCCTCTCTCATTCTTCACACCAAAATCATATTCTCCTCTATTATATAACTCAAATTCTCCAACTATTTGAGTTTTAATATTGTATCATCATATAACCGTTAACTCTTATGTAATTAATATTGTATTTAAATGAATGTTTTTGTTTCTAATAATTTAATGTTATTGCATTTATATAATTTGTCAATGTATGTACACCTAAATAATTTTTTTAACTTTTAAATACATAAATATATTAATATATTTATTTAATATAATAATTAATATTATTAGTTATAATTTTTTTTAAAATATAATAATAATTTCACCTTCTAAGTAAAGAAAAATATTAAATTAAACAAATTAAAAGTTATTAAAAAATTTATGTATACAATGACACATTTCATGTTCTGATTGGAGGATTAAATTTATTAAATTAAATTTTCAATAAGACTAATTTTATAAAATATGTAAGTCTTGAAGATTAAATATGTAATTATACTAATTTATTAACTTATGCATCAATATTTTCGTTAAATATTGATATGAGATGACTAGATTGATAACATTTAAATAATTAACTGATAAAATTAATAGATCGATAATCAAAATCAAAAATAATAATATAATCATATGTGTAATATTATAATTTCATACATTTTTCCTATAACTACAATAAAGTCAAAACTGGTTTTCATATATTGTTATATCATATTAATGTAGATAATTCACTCCACCTTTAACACACATTAACAAAATACATTTCATAATTCTACATTATAATCGAAACATTTTACATAATATATTATTAATTTATAATAATAAAAATAAACTATTTATTATAAAACAAATACGTGTCTGCTGAGTTGACAAAGGCGCGTCCCCGGGGACGCGCCTTCCACACGTGGCATCCAACTCAGCGAAACCGCGGGTAAAGCGCGTCCCCGGGGACGCACCTTTACCAACTCAACAGAAAGGGTACTACTTCTGAAAATATTGATCAAGCGGTGTCAGAAAGGGAAAATTTAAAGTATTAATTTAGCCCTAGAATACACATCTGTCCAAAAGATAAACTGTGGTGATTAGCCTATTCTAGTGAAGGAAAAATCTAGACCGTCAGATTTCCATTTTCACGCGAGTGAATAAGCAAAAAATAATATTAAAAAAATTAAAAAAGGGTACAAATTGGCTAACAGCGGGCTGTTCAATATTATTTTTCAAAGTTTCAATTAAAATAATGATAATATATTAATTTATTACCTTTTTAATTTAAATATCATATTTTATTTTCCATTAAAAAAGAAGGAAAAAGAAGATCAGAGATTTTTTAGCACAGAAAGCAAAAAGTCGGGTTGAAAATCAGAAAAGAATCACTGGGGAGAAATATAAAGACGAGAAGAAAGAACCGTGAACTCTTATCTTTAGATTATTTACGGTGAAGAAGTTCTCGAGAAACAGTTCTTTTTGCCGGAAACGAAGGCGAATTGGTAAAAGGCCGATTGTTCTCTTCGGAAGATTTATTTATTTTTTGGTTGGTTGAGGTTTTGATTGAAGAGTATATATATTATGGAGAGAAACAAGCACGGAAGAAGAGGATTGCATAAACTTCGTCAACGAAGCAATAATCTCCGATATTCACCTGGTCTTAGACCTTTTTCCTTTTTTATCTGTGTAGAGAGTTTTTGTTTTGTTTTGAGTTCGTTTGATTGATGATTTTTTTGCTTACAGAATGTGGAGAGATGGAGATGCGGGAAACAGTGAGGTTGAGGGAGAGAATGAGAAAGAGAGAAAGAGACCTAGATTCGTTGAATCGGAACAAGCGTCGCGTGCCGAATAAGGTGGACGGAGAAGAGAGTACGGAGGATAGTTCAGGTGAAGAGGAGGAAGAAAACGAAACCGAGGAGCTCAATAACCGTAAACTTTCACCCTCGGTTAGAATTTCTGGGATAACAGCAATCCATTCGAAGGCCACCGATGAAATGATAGGTTTTCCAGTTCCCAGAAAAGCTCGCTCAGGTACCAAAATTGTTGTCATTCTAATTATTTATATTTAGATATAGAAAATGGAGCTGATTTTCTCTTTTGGTATTTTTTTTTCAGCTTCAGTTAAAAGGTCGCATGAGAATTGGGTGGCCGGAAATGGTGGTTTCGTCGAGGAACAAAACCATATGCGAGCTTCCGTGTCACCGGCTCGTCGGAGCGTTGAGTCTGACCGATTTTCACCGTCTTCATCAAATGCTTCAGTTAGAAAGAAGATGGTCAGCTCACGTTTTTGTTTTTAGATTTACTTCTTCTTTTCGAGTGTGACGAAATTGAGAGGATTTAGCTGTTTTTGGGTCTTTCTTTTTTGAGATGTTGCAGAAGACAAATCGACCCAAGACTCGGCTTCCAAAGGCGACCACGTCGAGCTCTGTTCAAGAGGATATTGAGATTGAAATCGCAGAGGTTCTTTACGGATTGATGAAGCAATCGCATAGCTCCAAGAAGGAAGATAGTGCGGGAAATCCTTTGTCGATGCTTGAATCTGAAGATGAAAATATTTCCTCCACCGATATTAAGCCTGATCCATTAGTTGCCGATGGTAAGTACTTTAATCATTCAATCCTTTTTCTATAAAGTCTTCTTCTTCTTCATCATCTTCTTTTTAATTAATAGCACATGCAGGCTCAAAGGAGAAGAAAGTTGAAATTGTGGATTCTCCAACTCCACCGAAAGTTGAGAACCAGCAGCAGGCAGAGATGGAAATTTGTTCACCAAAAGAGGGTCAAATTTCGGGACCTAATTCAGTAATTTCCGATAATGGCGCAACTGGAGCTGCATCAGTGGCAATCGAGTCACAGGACAAGCAAGGACATTCGAAACCATTCGTTGAAGAAACAAAATCCGTGGATAGAGCTGTGACAGAGGAAAATTTCGTTAGGACTGAAAAGGAATCTGCTAATTCGAATGTCTATTTTCAGGATCCGACAGCAATCAAACTGTATGCATCAAAGAATCTTGTTATTTTTGTTTGCCTCCTTTTATTAATGCTCTCAAGATATCTGATTTCTTTTTAAATGGTATGGAATAATAATAGAATATCAACGGAGAAAAACGGGGAAAACCAACTTGAAGAGAATTTCAAGATTGATTTGATGGTGAGAATCTTCTCCTGTCTAAAATTTGAATTAGAATGATGTCCAAATTACTGAGAAAAGACTAATGATTAATGCAACCTTTTTCCAACAGGCTCCTCCTATGGCATCATCTCCAGTAAAGGATAGCTATGTGGATATCGCATTGGATCCTAATTACAAGGTTCGGAACAGGGAATCGGTTATTTGCTTTCAGGCATTTTGATTTCTCTTTCTGATTCTGTTCATGGACTAAAATTTTCATCTCTGATGCAGAAGGTTGAGACCTTGGCCAAGGATGAAGCAAATGTTGTGAAGAAAGAAATGAGGGCAGATGATGGTAAAAGCAAGAAGATGGATACAATTAATGAGAAACGAGATTCGTTGAACCTTACTCTGGAGAAGCGGGGTCAAGATGCTAGTGGTGGTTGTATATCCGAGCAAGGTCAAAAGCAACGGCTACCTAAAGTTGACCTTTCGAAAATGCAGCAAACAGGTAATTTATTAATATGTTTCAGTTTTGACTCACTGTGCTGCTCAATGAGTTTTACTCGTTAACTTTAGCTCTCGGTTCTCTCAAGTTATGATAAGATGGGTTTACTAATTTGTTTCTCTCTTATTCAGCTAAATCAACTTCAGTGCCTATGCCAAATGGTTTGCCACCTTTGGGGTAAGCTATCAAGACTTCGTTTTGGACCCATATTTTGTTTTTGTTTAAATATTCTGGTGGTATGTCATTTTTGTTTCTAAGAAGTTGAATATTATTTTTATAACAGGTATATACCTCCCTTCCCATCAATTGCGCCCATGGATGCAAGCGCTAGATCATCTACGGCATTGCAGGTATGAACTAATGACTTCCTTACTGGGCCAAAGTTTCAATATATGGCTCAGATTATTCGTTACATATTTTCTTGGCTTTAAATTAACCATGAGTTCCTATTGGGAATATTCAGCCTCTTCATTTCTGGCTTTCCCAACCTCGGCCAAAAGGATGTGTCATGCATCATTACATAGCTCATAACATACACTTACACCAGCAGTACGCAAAAGTGAAACATTTCTGGCCACCAACGTCCGGTTTTGCTTCTCTATCTGGGGCCAAGCCCAGCAAATTCAACGTGGGGCAATCTGCAGAAGCTTTGACTCTTGGAAACCCATTAGTGAATCTAAACCTTACAGAAGAGAAAGGTACGGTTGGAACGAGTTTTGCAGGTCTTACCAGGAAAGATAAAAGCCCTGAATATACCAATGATACGGTACTGAGAAAGCAGGCTGTAGTTCAAAAGGGTTCTCAAGCATCTGCTGGTAACTTGATGGTATGTTAATATACATTTTAAGTTGAAGAGTTTTTGCCACTCCATTTTCATTCAATTTGTTTCAAGAATTTATCATTTGCTAAGCCTTGATAAAATGTTGTTGCAGCATGACCCTGCTTTCATATTCCCCTTGAATCAGTATCAAACAAGTGCAAATCAACCTGGCCTTTCCAAATCTGCTACTTCTGCTAGTAAAGCATCCTCCACTGATACTTCAGCACCTGGAATCTCAACTAGCTCTACAGTGTTACCGGGAGTATCAGCAGCTGTGAGCTTTAATTACCCTAATTTGGCTGCCAACCAAGCTCCGTACTTGACTATAATACAGAACAACGGTTATCCTTTTTCTGTCTCTACTCCTGTTGGAAACCAGTCGGCAATCAGAGGAGGAACACCCAGTCAAGCGTTGCCTTTCTTTAATGGGTCGTTCAATTCTTCTCAGATGTTCCATCCTCAACTTCAGCAGCAGCAAGCTCGCTCTCAGACTTTGGTTCAACCGGCTTATCAAAATGCAGTCCCGTCATGCGGTTCATCATCATCCCACAAGCAACCAGAGTCTCAGCAGCCGCAGGGTGGACAAGTTTGTGGGAATAAATTTTTGAGCTCAACAAGCATGCATTCACAGCAGTTGCAGGAGCATAAGATGCTTTCAACCAATCAATCGCGTAAAATGGAGAATGAGATGAGTGGAGAGCATACAACTGCAAACGCGCAGAAAAAGTTTCATGGCCAGAACCCACCATTTCATCATCAGCCGCTCAACTTTGCCTTGGTACCCTCTGCAGCTGTGGGTGGAGGTGCAGTTGATATCGTCCCTCAAGCATATGCCATGTCGTTTGCCTCTTTCACTGGAAACAACAAAGCTTCAAATCTTAACTTCTCATCTATGGCACAGAACCCCACAATTTTTCATAGCCTGCCTGAGATGGCTCGGCAAGGATACCAAGTTGCACCTGTACCACATGCTCCTACACAGCCGAAGAATCACCAGATATCTGATGGAAAGAGTGGATCCAGTTCAGCCAACACGGATGATGGAAAAAAGACAAGTTCAGGGAAGTCGCATACTACAAACGGTCGGACATATGTTTTTGATAATTCAGCTAGATCTTTGAATTTTGTATCCTCCCCTGTCAGAGGAAATTGGCCGCCATGCACCGTCACCACCACTACTGCATCCATAAATCCTCCCGTTGCTTCTAATTCATCAAGTTCCCATCCACGGCTGCTTCAACTTCAGAAGCAGCACATGGCGCCACAACATCATCAGCAACCTGCTACAGCTTCTCAAAGCAAGACTCAGGCAACAGACGCCATGTCTGCATCTTCCATTGCGGCTAAGTTTTCTAGCAATGCTGCTATATTCTCGCAAACTGTGCCCCAATGCAACCCTGCTGCACAGTCAACCCCATGGAAAAACTCAGCTAGAACCCCAGCTTCCCCTGCTACCAATGTTAAATTTCCCCACCAGCAACCATTGAAGCCTCAAGGCCAAACAAAAATATCATTCGGGGTAAATACCAAGTCCGGGTTATCACCACAGGGACAAGAAATACCTAGAGCAGCTGGTCTGCATCGCCTATGATTGTTGGGTCCTAGCAGTGGCAACTCGAGAAGAAGTTCAACAAGCAGCAGCACAGTAGGCTTATCGGTTCCTACTTCCAACACTGCAATCACAACAGGAGAAATCTTCTGCTGATAACAGCCAGAAATGACCTCCGGTTGGTAGAAAAAATGTGCCTCCGAAGTCCGATCTTGACCACAGGCCCATCCACCTTGTGGAGTTAAGGTATTGAAATTAAACTGCAATTATAGTATTTATGACTACAGCAGATGCAACATTCAGGGGACAAGGTGCAGAGCGCATTCAGTGCAAAGAATTTTTTGGTGAGAGGGACCAAGCTGTTCATGTTAAGTGGAAGGCACATGGGTTCTTGTTCACAATAACATTAAGAGAGGATAATGTGGAAAAGGAGGTTGGCGGCTTTTTGATAAAACCCTATAGTTTTGAAGTGGGAACCAAAGTGGGGGACCACCCATATTTTGGGTGTCGAATTATTTGATTGGTTAATGTGATGCTGACGTGTAAATAGGATAACCATTTGCTAAGAAACAATACTCTTTAGTTATATTACTATTTTATTTTATTAAAGTTTTGTTCATTTCCCTTGATTTTGTTGGTCACCCAACACTTGGATTCTTTCACGCAGGCTTCCTTAAACAGTACAGGTAGCAGAGTGTAACCCGAACCCATTTCACATTGTCTGAGGATGCAAAATTATAAAAATAAATTTTAAGGACGAAAGTAGATTATCTATAAAAGAAACAGAGAGAAAATGATATGAAGATTTGGAGGACTTGTCCGTTATCCACTTCCGGTCCATCCCTTTCCGAAGGATTTATGGGGAATCTTTCCAGTGTGTATAGAGCTTAGGTTTAGAAGACGTTTAGTGCTCTGTTCAATGACTAGAGAATGGTCGAAAACCTAAAATAGAAAGTTTTAAAGATAGCTCCACAAATTTTCCGCCTTGGACTTATGGTGATAGAGAAGGCCTACGTGAACCCTGATATCTTACCGAATAGAGTAGGTGATGGAGCCATTAAATGTCCTCTTTCACACATTGGATACATAGATATTGATCTCAATAAATGTATTGGATATTAGAAAAAGTGAGAACTAGGCTTGGGTAAGAGCAAGCATCGAAATCAAGTATCCTATTGGTCCAAGTAAATATCATCTTATCCGAATGATCAAAATCCAAACACCAGCACCCCTTTGAAAACATTTTCCCTTGTCATCATCATCCATCACACAAATCTCCAATCCCCCCCCCCCCAACACGTAAAAATTCAACAAGAGAAAAAGGAACTCACCCCCCCAAATATCATCTACATCGCCATGGCAACTCAAGCAGGTTTCTTCACCCCCACAATCACCACCCCAAAATCCCTGGTCCCATGGAAGCCATCCTCAATTTCCTTCTCCATCCCCATGTCCCTCAACTTCTCTCAAAGAATCACTAGGGCTGCAGCTGCAGACGAGGCACCGGCAGCGGCAGCAGCCATCACAGAGGAAGCTCCGGTTGGTTTCACCCCACCAGAGTTGGACCCAAACACCCCATCACCCATCTTCGGAGGAAGCACAGGAGGACTGTTGAGGAAGGCACAAGTTGAGGAATTCTATGTCATCACATGGGATTCCCCCAAAGAACAAATCATCGAGATGCCAACAGGAGGGGCAGCTATAATGAGGCAAGGCCCTAACTTGCTCAAGTTGGCTAGGAAAGAGCAGTGCTTGGCGTTGGGAACCAGGCTGAGGTCCAAGTACAAGATCAAGTACCAATTTTACAGGGTTTTCCCTAATGGTGAGGTTCAATACCTTCACCCCAAAGATGGTGTTTATCCTGAGAAAGCTAACCCCGGTCGTCAAGGTGTGGGTCAGAACTTCAGGTCAATCGGGAAGAATGTTAGTCCTATTGAAGTTAAGTTTACTGGGAAACAAGTTTATGACTTGTAAGATGAGTGACTTGGGATAGTGCTTAATGTAACTCTTTCATGTATTTTTCTCCTTTTTTTGCAACCGCTGTATTTGTTTACTGCATTTATGTAAAATGTCTCACACTTTTTAGCTAACAATTGCAATGACACCTTCATCCTCTAAAAGCATTTCATACTTTGCAACAAAGTTGTATACAAAACAAGTAAATGATGGTCGGTAAATGCATACAACACAGATTCAAACATCGGGTGACGCTAACCTAGATGAACTTGTCTGATGGTCTGTGAATGGTCATGATCTCCATTACCAACTGCAAAGTCTCACATGATGCAGTTTATCCAATTCTGATCGAAGCTCAAGAATATGCATGAGCAAGCATAATGTTTAATGTCCAGTCCCCTTGCAATAGCTATATGATATAAACTAATGATCAGTTCATTTAACTAAGCAGCTCTTTTAAAAATGACATCAGAAGCTATTTCCTTTTAGTTTGAAATCTCTTCAATTAAACAAAATCTCCTAAAGAGGACTATAAATAATGCCTACAAGCTCTCTTTCTTCATTGTCACCTCTAGAAACAATCCTGAAACGTGTTCTTAAGGTTATCGCACCCTTATCCAACATTTAGCAAAGTACAGGCCACAAAATGAAGTATCCAACAATCAGAGCTTGGATTCCAAAACCACTATATGAATATATTAACGGCGAAAAGAGAGCACATTCTAAACATCCTATGGCCAATTGGCCATTACATTAGGGCGCAACTCCAAAATTACCAGAATGCAAATCATTAATCATCAACCATTACTTGGTCACTGAGTCGGATCCAAAGTATGAAATCATTAAAAAAATATATAAAAAATATAATAATCTCAAAAGCCAACTCACCCAAGCCTGTCCATCCTATTAACATCTAAAAAACTTAATATGCTCCAACGATTTCTAAGACGTGGCAGACAAATTTAAGTTTCATTAACATGATCCCAAGCTTTTAGCCCTCGTAGCTTAGATACTTGAAAGATATGCAATCATTAGGACCTTAACTGTAACATATTTCTCTTAAAACGTTAAAAATGCAAACAAGAACCTTCATCAGCTTTTGCCAATGTCAGTACAAGACATTTAGAGGAATATACTCAGGAATTTTCTTGTCCAAACATATTCTTATCACCGGCTGAACGTTCAGTCACCATAAAGTCCAGGGTTTAAATCCGTGGATTAAGTGTTTCTCTTTCTCACCTTTTGCCTTCTCCAAGACCACCTGACAATAATCTTCTCAACTGAAGTATCACTAATTAACCCCAAATAAGGAAAAGGACTTTGGTAACAAAGCAAATCGTGCAACATACCACAATTTTTCTCATTTCTAATTTCTAATGACTACACTAAAAATGCTGTCTTTAGCGCATACAGACCCCAAAGATACTTTGATAGAAAAATCTCAGCAGTTAGCATTTACTTATAATGCTTTTAATGCAACACACATGAAAAAAATTAGCAATAAACTAATAAAGCCAACAGCAACATACACGAGGTTCAAGCATCAGCCCCATCTTTTCCAGCAAAAGGGTTGTGAGTAGGACCAACATCCTGCCCAATATGGCGCTGCACCAGCCTTTGCAAATCAGCCATAACCTTGTGCTCACGTTTTGCTTTCTCTTCATAGTTAAACATAGCCAATGCCCTCTTGTCCTCCGCACTGTAAACCTGGTTTTCTTTCCTAATACGAATGGCATTCATTCTCTGATGTCTGCTACCACTCATCACAAACCCAAGGTCCTCAAACTTTTGAATCTCCTCAGCAGAAAGACCCACTTCACCTCTTCGCGGGATACGCTTTCCTTGTTGGACATATTGTGCAATAGCATCACCTTCACCAGGCCTCAGGGCACCACCATAACTTATATGTCCCTCAGCTCTTGGCAATGGTGCCGGGCCAACCATAGGCTCATTATCTAATGCAGTTTTCTTCTGAGCCTCTATCATTTCTTTGAACATAAGAGCTTCAGCAGCATTAATATCAGCCATATTAGGCTCATCTACCATTGGTTTACTGTTGGCATCGACTCCAGAATCTGAGCTCTTATCAGAATCCGAAGCTTGACTCTCAGTTTCTGATCCTCTCTTTTTCTTACTCTTTCTAAGCTTCAAATTCAGAGAGCTTTTCCGCTTCTTTGATTTGACACGGTCATCAGAGGATATGTCCGTTTCGCTTTCACTACTCCGCTCTCATCAGAACCACTATGCCTACTCTTCTTCCTGCTTCTTTTCCTTCTACAGCTTTTTTTACTATTCTTATTCCTGCTACTCTTCTTTCTCCTCGACTTCCTTCTCCGTTTGTCTTCCTCATCATCGGATTCGCTCTCTGTGTCACTGGATTCGTTATCCTTGGAAGATGATGTTTTCCTGCTTCTACGTTTGCTTCTCCCACTTCTTCGCTTAGAAGTCGACCCCTTCTTCCTCTTCCTAGATCTTGAATAATCTGATCCAGATTCTGACTCACTCTCCGATTCGCTATTACCAGATTTTTCAGACTCGGACTCGGATTTAACTCTCTTATTGCTCTTATTCTCGTTTTCTTTATCAGAGTCACTCTTCTCATCACCTTCATCCTCACCGTACTTATCTGAAATTTTATCACCTTTATCCTCCAAATCATCGTCTTCATTCCTCGGCGGACTCGGCGTATTCTCCCAAATACAGAATATCAACGCCTTCCTCATCTTCTGCCTCTTCAGCCTCCTATACTCCTCAAAGTTCAATCCTTTCAACTCCTCGTCCGATTCCGACTCCGATTGTTTTCCGTTCCTATAATCTCGGTCCAGGTAGCTATGATTCTTGCCAAATTTCTTGGGCAGAGATTTCAGGGTTCTGGCAAGGGCAGGGCTCCTCCTTCTAGGGTTTTCGCCTCCAGGAGACTCTGAACGGTTGCGGTTTTCTGATCGGTCGCGGTCATACACATCGTAAATGGGACTGGATCGACGGCGACGATAATCAATAGAATCGTCAAATTTTTCGCGATCAAAACGCTGTCTTCTTTCAGGAATTTCGATAGGGCTTCTGTATTCAGGCGAACCAGAACGGTCACGCTGTTGGTTACCCTTGCGGCTCTGGTGGTCGCGTCCGTACGCTTCATAGCTAGGGCTACGGCTGCGACGGAGGTAGTCGGGCGAACCATCGGATTCAGATATGTAGCGGTCGTTTTCGCGATCGGATTCGTGCCTTCGTCCCGGAACTTCGACTTTGGATGTGAGGCGGCCCATCGGAATCCAATCAAAGGACGTAAGCAATTCGAAGTATCGTCTTTTGCAAAATTTTCCAAAGAGAGCGAAGAAGATCAGATCATGATCATCGAAAAAATTATACTGAACCTCAAATGAAGATAACGTTATAGGAGGAAATATGAAAACAATATACTCCTTCTAAAGCCTAAACATTAAATGAGCCGAAAGCCTATTGAACTTGAGAGGCTGCAATCCAAGTTCGAATGAATATTGAGTAGCCCAATACTTATATAGGCAGGATTGGAAATTAGTAAAATTATTTTTACCCTAAAATTGTAAAATTTTTAGTTAATGAAATAGTAAATTATTCTTTGGTCCCTGATTAAGCAAAAGTGTCCGTTTGATCCTAAAATGATAAGATTGGTTTTGATATATAATGTTAGATGAATACTTCATTCAAATTTGTCAAAATTAAATCGACGAGGTTGGTTTCAAGTTCGAGTCTTTTTGTGTATAAAATCTCCGTTGGAAGACTCATCCACCAAAGTTAGGTGTGTGATACGAGTTGGTCCAGATTAATCAGGACGAAGCTCTGAAACCGAGAGACTAATCAAAAAAATTGTCAAAAATAGATTTAAAATCATATGAATTAGGGATAAACATTCGAGTTAATAGAGCCGACTCGAGTTAAAAAACTTTGAATTAATCAAATTAATAGTTTAAATTTTATCACTGAAATTTTATTTGATTTTTTAAATCAAATTAATTTTTCATAAAAAAACGAATTTTGTTCACCCATGTCAACTAATAATTGATGTGAACGATGAAGAAAAATAAACAAGATAAAGGCCAGTTTTCCAATCAATGCATCATCACCGATTTACCAATCCAAATCATATACTACAATACTTTGATCTGACAGAAATTAATTTATATCATCATCTCATCCTCTCTTATCTGCAGGCTAAGAGGGTTAAAACAAAGTTAAAGAAAACAAGAACTGGATTTCAATGTTTGGTTTATGAATTCAATCATTTGAAACTTGAAACTAATTTAACCGTTCAGCAATTGAATGTTCTTAATTCTCCTCTCCATGTAGAACCATTTCCTGGTATCGGCACTCTTGACTGCAAAATGCTTTATCGCCTCTGCAATTATTAAACCAACCATCACATTATGCCCATTTAAGCTCAACAGAATCATGTTTTTTTTATACTTGATGAGCACGAACCTGTAAATGTAAATGTCGATCTTCTGGTGAAGATTCTTCTTGCATGTATAACAAAAGCTGAGGAAACTCTGGGATGCACTGCAACAGGACGCCACAACACAGTCATCGGAGATATGGGTTGTTTTGGGGTTAGGCCCGTATGATATAACGCATGTGTAATCCTCTGATAGCTCCATTTCTTCAACGGGGAGACGGCCATTGATGATCGTTGGTGAATCCTTCATGCAAGCGCCAAATGGTGAGGAGGGGATATGAGAATTCCTGGTTTTGATCCCGAAGTCACCTGGGGATTTTGGGGAAGAAGTGTCGTATGGAGATGGTGGGATTAGAGGGATCTGAACCCTGAGTTTTGGTTTATCCTCGAGTGTATCGACTATTGCAAGAGCAATACCTTTCGGTTCTGGGTTTTCAGGTGAGCGGTGTTTGACTGACGAGAAATTTTCTGGGGATTTTGGCTCGTAGCCCAGGGGGTTATTACATGGAGGAAAGGATGGTTTTTTATCGAGGATTGAAGTTGGACTCTTGAGAACTTCGGGTTCGGTGAGATGTTTTGCAATGAAAGCTTTGAATCTGGGAGAACATAAGAAAGATGGGGTCGGAGAAGTGAGATTCTTTTGAGAAGATGATGATTGAGAGCCATGATCCACCATTAAAGCTTGCTTGTTGCTGCTCACTGCTCTCGACCTATTCCTCAGCATAACTCGAAGCAACTGGTAAACCAAACGAGAAAGAAACAGATCATTTCAAGAAATTGAAACCAAAAAGGAAAGAAGAAAAATGCCATGGATTTACCTCTGAAACTACACCTTGTCTGTTTACTTTCTCTTGGTGAAACTCTTACACACAAATCTAAGCAAAAACTTTGTTTTTTAATTCCAGAAAACTTAAAAAACGCATAATCTGGGAAATTGAAACCCTCCCTAAATCTCAGTAGCCTCCATGGCAGAAAAAGAACAGGCGGATTCCTTGTACTCTGTCTTTTATCTCAGTTTCTTCAAATCAAAAACTGTTTTTTCAACAGTGACAAGAATCAATACCCATCATAATACAAAGCACACGGTGAGGAGCAGCAGCCACGATCAAGCTTCTCTCTGCTCTGCCATTTTTTTTACTGCAAAAGAACCGTATGGGGTTAAATTACATAACTTTTTTTTTTAAATTTTCTCTTTCTGACACCGTTTGACCAATATTTTCAGAAGTAGCACCCTTTCTGTTGAGTTGGCAAAGGCGCGTCTCCGGGGACGCACTTTACTCGTGTTTTCGCTGAGTTGGATGCCACGTGTGGAAGGCGCATCCCCGGGGACGCGCCTTTGCCATATCAGCAGACACGTGTGGAAAGCGCATCCCCGGTAACGCGCCTTCCATTAAATGTCATAAATGCCCCATCCGTTTTTCCTAACTACCCATCCTCCTCCCCTATATAAACCCCCTCAACCCTCCCTCGTTCTTCACACCAAAATCATATTCTCCTCTCTTATATAACTCAAATTCTCTAACTATTTGAGTTTTAAATTTATTATTAGTGGTAATAAATTTATTTTTATGTTAGTATTTTTTTAAATAGTTATTATTTTTTATATTAATATATTATGTAAATATTATTTTTTATTAAAATAATATTTATATAATTATTATTTATTTAGAATTATTAATTTTTTTGCTAATTATATTATTTTGTCTACAGTTATAATGGAAAACGAAATGCTGTTGCGATTGGATATTGATCATATCTCTAGACATTTTAGCGATATGGTAATATTTTTTATAATTAATGTTAATATTTAAATTTATTTTTATTTTAAAGTTATTATGAATTTATATTAATTTTTATTTTTTATAATGTATATATTTAGGATGCTGATCGTATTTTAGAGACTTTTATTAAAAATCCACGTATACCGACACCGGAACGTATTTTGCCATATTTGGCTTCTGCCGGGTTCGGGTATATTGCAACAATTATAGGCGGTTGCAAACTCGAACCTGTCCTAATTTCTGCACTGATTGAGAGGTGGAGGCCCGAGACACACACTTTTCACCTTCCATGTGGAGAGGCGACAATTACATTGGAGGATGTCTCTATGCATCTAGGGCTTCCCGTCGACGGAAATATGATGTGTGGTATGGCGGATGGTGATTGGCAATCAATGTGCATTGATTATCTTGGAGCTGCTCCGCCAGAGTTTAATGGAGGTAGAATAGCTTTATCTTGGTTGAAAGCTAATTTTGAGGTTTTAATGAAAATGCTTCAGAGGATCAAGCAAAGGCATGTGCTCGGGCATATTCTACGAATAATTGGAGGAATATTGATGCCCGACAAATCTCGCAACCAGGTGCATTGTATGTGGTTGCGGCATCTGATCGATTTTGATGTAGCTGGAAGATATAGTTGGGGTGCTGCAGTTTTGGCATTTCTCTTTAGAGAAATGTGTCGGGCGACGAATTATAAGAAAACTGCTATCGGTGGATGTCTTCTGCTTCTACAATCATGGGCGTGGTTCCGCATGCCTTTCTTATGCCCGATCGTGAATGAACCATACGTATTCCCCTTATTGTTGAGGTAATTTTCGAACTAAATTTTGATTTAAATATTTTCAATTAAATAGGGTGATATTTAGTTTATTATATTTCATAGGTGGTCGATGAAAAGAAAGGACCATAAAAGTATACCTACTGGTTAGAGGAAATTCGTTTACTTATTGATACGAAAGCTGGGTCTGAGGTATGTTTTAAATTTGTTTAATTATTAATTTTAATTTAAAATGTTATATATAATTAGAATATTTTATTTATTTGAATTGTATATTTATATTTCAGTTTCAGTGGATACCTTATGCGAGCGATGAAGTGAAAGCTTGCATCCCACCCCACCTTAGTGGGTCATTAGAGGTATGGATATCGGTTATACCTCTTATATGTTATGCTATTATTGAGTGGCATCCAGTTGATCGCGTGCTCCGTCAGTATGGTTGTACGCAATATATTCCTGGAGCTCATAGGAATTTAGACGACGTGCATAACATAGATAGACGAGGAAAGAAAGATGTTAACTGGGTGGTGAGACACAGAGATTGGATTGCGCTTTGGGAAAACCGATATACACTGGTGGCCCCTCGACAATATTACGCTGAAACTGGTCATATGGTTACGGATAACTATATGGACTGGTTTAATGAAAATGGGAAGCCGTTTCTACTTTCGGCGGAAGCACGAGGGGTTAACATTCCTAGGCGCTGAGAAAGACGTCAACCGTCTCAATATCATCGTCCCCCGACGCGTGGACGGAGAGAAGGCGCTACCGGTTCTGCATCAGTCCCACCACAACATCCTTATTCGTCGATGCCGCAGGGGTACATGCCCAACCCTCCACTTCAAATGCCAAGCCCACCAGTTTATATGCCATCTCCGCAGGGTTACATTCCGAGCCCGCAGGGTTATATTCCGAGCCCGCAGGGTTACATTCCTAGCCCGCCAGGTTACATGCCTAGCCCGCAGGGTTTTATACCATATGGAGGTGCATATACGACTATGTTTAATGATCCAGCATATGGTTCATATGCATCTTATTTGGCTGGTGGTGCTTCTCCGCAGACACCTCAATCTCCATCTGGATCACATACATCGATGCCAATGTTTCCATAGTTTTCACAGTTCCCGGGGAGCGGTGGGATTGTTACTAGCACTCCTCCAGGGTCGTTATTTTATACAGGCCCTTCAGCCCCTTCAGCGTCATCTACACCAAATGAAGAAAATGCTGCTGATGATGATAGTGAAGATGAGGAGACTGAAGAACAAGTTCCACGAAGAAATCCTCCACGAAATAGATAACCACCGCCATGTGGAACTCATTCGAGAAGACGACATCGGTGATCCAGTTATATTTAATGTTATTTAAATAATTATATTTCAGAATTTTATGTAATTTGGTTATGTTATTTAAATGTTTCATGGTTGTTACATACATATTTTTTAATGTTATTTTTTATTCACATTTAACATTAAATGTTTGATAAATGTTTTTAAAATACAAATTATATTATTCAAAATTTAAAATAAAAATAAAAATAATATTATTCAAATTTAAATTTAAATATAAATTATAGTATTCGAAATTTAACATTAAATTTCAACTTAATATTCCAATTGTATTCGAAATTAAAGTTATTCCAATTATAGTTCACAATACTTAAATTGAAATTAAATTTATCCATACATATGATTTTATCATTAACATATATATAAAACGTATACATTAAAATCAACTTATGTTGAGTTCATCGATCGACGGAATCAGCCAAGAGGGGGGTGAATTGGCAATTTATTCAATGTCACATTTCAATGCTCATTCCATACAATTTCAATGTCACAATCACTTATCACTTCACATTTATTCAATTTATCCATAACATTTTATCTAATTTATTCAAACTTCACATAACGTTTTAATTTAAGTTATTCTTACTTGCTGAACTTTCAAAGAAGTTAAATTTTGGTTATAATTTACCTGATTTACTGATATATCTAGTGTCCCCGAGGGACATGAGTGTCATAATAGGGCAATGATAACATATTCTCTGATGAAATAATGGAAGGCGCGCCCCCGGGAACGCGCCTTCATGTGAATAGTGAAATAATAGGTACTGATATATCTAGTGTCCCCGAGGGACATGAGTGACATAATAGGGCAATGATAACATATTCTCTGATGAAATAATGGAAGGCGGCCCCCGGGAACGCGCCTTCATGTGAATAGTGAAATAATAGGTACTAATATATCTAGTGTCCCCGAGGGACATGAGTGACATAATAGGGCAATGATAACATATTCTCTGATGAAATAATGGAAGGCGTGCCCCCGGGAACGCGCCTTCATGTGAATAGTGAAATAATAGGTACTGATATATCTAGTGTCCCCGAGGGACATGAGTGACATAATAGGGCAATGATAACATATTCTCTGACGAAATAATGGAAGGCGCGCCCCCGGGAACGCGCCTTCATATGAATAGTACTCCGATTATAGACACTATTATATGCAACGTATTATAAACTTTCAAAACAAACTTCAGTTCACAATCTTTCAAATTCTCAAATTCCCAAACTCTAAATTCTCAAATTCTCTGAAAATGAGTCATCTTTCTGCTGTTGTTTTGTATGATGGAGAAATTAAGGAAGCTGAAGAGGGGGTTGTTTTTGAGTCAGATCATTATATCCCCTTAACCTTGAAGAGAAACATCACAATTGAGGAGTTAATCACAAAAATTTCGTTAAAGATTCGTGTAGCAGGCCAGAGAAGACTATCTTCACTTCAGTACAGATTTCCTACTAAACTTTTTCCTCTCACGTATACATCATTTCAGCTTTCAAACGATGATGATGTTTCTATGATGGTTGATGCTCATATGGGGAGTTCACAATCTCTTATTGAAATGTATGCCACTTTTATTGAGGTTCGTGCAACTCGTGGTCTCTCATATTCCTCTCACTTTGGCATTGCATATCAAACTGATCAAGTTGATAGCCCGACACAACTGATCTGTAATGATTTCATATCATTAATGGTGGATCCAACGCCATATACCATGCCATCAAGTTCAATAGGAAGGCATTCATCTGTAACTGCTTATGATCTCAACCCACGTGGCTTCACCAATAATCCATATGGCAACATCTCTTCTACTTCAAGGGACAGACATTCATCTGCCAATGTTTTCGACTTATATATGGAAATGCCAACGAGACGACAGTCTATTCACATCCCACATGATACAATGGCCTCACGTTCAAGGGGAGGACACGCAAGCGGGAACTTATTTGACCTCAACATTGGATTATCGGAGGAACCCTCATCTCCACCAGAAGAACCTCTTCGGGAGCCAGGTGCAGATGGTGCTGAAACGGGATTATTCGTTGAACCTGACTCACCACAGTTTAACGTACATTCTGATGATGACGAGGATGACGTTCCGATAAATACAACACCAGCCGAACTTCCTGCACATATGTATGAGGCTGATTATGATGCAATGTATGAGCCTGAATTTCCAGATCTTCCTGATGTTGGCAACTATG